TCTAAATAATTACTTTACAAACTCCTAGAATACAATAATTCTATACATTTTTTTGTTTCATATAACTAGGGTCAAGCGAGTCGCCCATAAAGTTACTTTTAACCATTCTACACAAAATGTACACATATGCATGTCTTGTTATTTTTATGATTAAAAAGATTGATACTTAAATATATTTACAAAATATACACATAAAATAAAACGAAAAAACACCTATTTTATCATATTGTCAATAAAGTTTAATGTGTATGTAAGACCAAGAATAATAATAATAGTAATACTAGAAAGGGAGTACCTCATATTTATCTGGTTATTATTTGCCTGGCTATAGAAAACATGAAACAGCCGACTACTCAAAAAGTGAATGCCTCAATTCACTCAGTCGGTGAATCAACTACTCTTCATAGTACTTTCTTTTCTATTCACTTTAATATGTCATTCGAGTAATAATAATAATAACAAAATACAAGACAGTTCATACTCTTTTAATTTGGTGAATATTTGTCATTCATTGTTCATTATTATTTTCTTTTTTTTACAAAGTCTGTTAATTTTCTTTGTCTGCCTTTTTAGGAGTAATCTTGTCGGCCGGTTGGACAACCGACTTTATGACTGACAGTTGAATACCCATTAATGTTAGTATTGTTCAAATTTTCACACATATCCAAATACATAAACTTCTATGATTTTATTAGGTGTTAACGTCGTGTACTATGCACGAAACCTGTCTACGTTAAAACAATTAATTGGACAGATGAAATATTGAATAAGTAGTAAAAATGATTTAAAAAAATTAATTTAATCCAGTTTATGACTAAAAGAAGTTTATAATATATCGAAACAAAGGAGAAGTGAAAAGCCAGGCTGCCGGAAGATTATAAATTATTGCTTTATTATTATTTCCTTTAATTTCTAGAGAATATAGGGCTTCAGCCAACCACGCCTCCAATGCGTTCGATTCTCTGCCAAAGTTTTCACCTGGCTCCAAGTCTGCCCACATGCTTTCATCTCCTCTTCACATGACCTCATCAAGTCACCCTCTCACTGACGATCAACTCGCCGCTTCCCATTCGGGGCCCACTCGAGAGAAGGCCTGGCGTGTGATGTCACTTGATGGTTTGTTTTCTCAGAGTATGGCCAATCCACCTCCATTTCTTCCTGCAGATTTGTTGCACAGTCGGTTCCTGGTTGGTTCTTTCATTGCCAGAGATCCCTCCCTGTTGCTAATCTTTTCTGGCCGGCCATCTGATCTTGAGTAGTGTTGAGCGAAGACAGCTGTTGATGAAGGTCTGTAGTTTGTTTGAGGTGCTTTCTATGACGCGCTAAGTGTCTGATCAACATAGTAGCACTTACTTCACACTGGAGTTGAAAATCCGGATCTTATTTTCATTTTCATGCTGAGTGCTGTTGACCTCCACACAGACTTGAGAATAATGAAAGCCTGCCTTGCTTTCCCGATCCTCCTCTTGATATTCTCACCAGGTTTGTCCGCCTGTAGTTGAAACGATGCTTCCCAGGTAGGTAGGTAGATGAAGAAGGTTGCCTCCTTCAGGTTCCTCCCATTTGTTCTGATTGTTGTCTGTTCTTGGTGTTGTTGCCGTTGGTGTTGGCCAGGAATCTTCATCACCTCTGCTTACTCTATGTTCACCTAAAGGCCTGTCTTCTCTGGACGCTTCTTCTGCCAACTTGTTGCTGCTTTTCACTTTATATCTTCCAGTTTGTAGGAAATCAGGCATATATCATCGGCGAAGTTCAGATCCTCCAAGGTTTTTGTGTGAGTCCATTTTATGCCTGTTTCTCATTGCTCTGTCTGTCTGCAATCCAATCTACGATCAAAACGATCAAGATTCGTAGACGAAAACATCAAACAGAAAATCCAAAAGCAAGATACTTTATATGAACCTCAAATTCACGGGGGTGATATACTCAGTGATGTCCTTAGGAGAAATTTCCACTTCTTTAAGAAGATTTTTCTTTGAGGCAACATTGAGAGTAGTGTTTCCAGTCGCCCGTTGGTCTGTAGAAGCCCAAAGGACAAGATACCACATCTGACCACTTCTATGGGTGTGTATCAGTTGACCTGTTGCTATGGAGCCAGGTACATTGGTCGTTCAACGCGCATCTTGTCAAAAGGGTCAAAGAACACCATCCAGCGTGGCTGCAGAAAGGAATTAGTGGCCGTGTAAGTAGTACAATAATTGAACATCTCCTCAGCACTGGTCATTCCATTTCAACGAACGCCTCCTTCTAAATAATTCGCAAAGTGAAGAAAAACCTGCCAAAGGCAATACGTTTCTGTCTCCTTTGCATTGCATAAGCCCTAGCTATTCAGTTGGAAGAACCAGAACTATGCATATAAAGAAAATTTTTCGACCACTTCTACTCTCACTGTAACAACTCTGTTGATTTGACCTAACTTTTGTTTGTATGCTTATTTTTCTAACTACTTAAAACCCTTGCGTAATTCCGTATGTTATTTTGTCTCCATGTACACCATGGGCACAACTCTTTCATCAAACTATTCACGTTATTACCTTAGTCTTCTTTAACAATCAATTGTGACAAATCAACACTTTTGTTACTATCCTCTTATATCAAATCCAATTCATCTGAACTTACTAATTGTTTTTCGTTTGACAAATTTAATGTACACACACATACGAATCAACCACAGATATATGCGATTGTACAGCTGTGAAAATGAATTCGACGAAAACAGACTCTTCGCGAAACGGATTTATTGTGATCTAAAATGCAGGAAACCAGTCGTTGCGTTCAACTGTATGTTTGAGCAGAATTTTCTTGAGTTACTCACAGCAAAAAATGTCCTGACGTTAGTGAGAGTACAGTTATCAATGATAAGATTCGCGATGCTATTCAGCAGTCATAACATATCAGTACTCAAAGTTACTTGGACGATACTACTAGGTGGTTATACAGATCAAGGTAGTTTTTAGGTGGAAAACGAGTACTGTAGAACAAAATAAAATAACCAAAATTCAATTGTAAGAAGTACCTGAGAATCAAGAGGAATATTCCCAGCATTGTGGGGCTGTAAATGCTTCACAGACTGAACAGTTCCAGCAGATAGTCCAAGGCTAGGATCCCTTCGACTCAACCAAAAAAAGTCACATCGTAAAATAACATATTATCAATATCGTCTTACAACCACAAAGGGAAGCTATAACATTAGAGGTTAAATAAAAAAAGAAAGCGTCGATCGAGAGGTGAACGACCAATGTACCTGGCTCCATAGCAACAGGTCAACTGATACACACCCATAGAAGTGGTCAGATGTGGTATCTTGTCCTTTGGGCTTCTACAGATCAACGGGCGACTGGAGAACACTACTCTCAGTGTTGCCTCAAAGAAAAATCTTCTTAAAGAAGTGGAAATTTCCTCCTAAGGACATCACTGAGTATATCACCCCCGTGAATTTGAGGTTCGTATAAAGTATCTTGCTTTTGGATTTTCTGTTTGATGTTTTCGTCTACGAATCTTGATCGTTTTGATCGTAGATTGGATTGCAGACAGACAGCAGGCAATGAGGAAACAGGCATAAAATGGACTCACACAAAAAACCTTGGAGGATCTGAACTTCGCCGATGATATATGCCTGATTTCCTACAAACTGGAAGATATGCAAGTGAAAAGCAGCAACAAGTTGGCAGAAGAAGCGTCCAGAGAAGATAGGCCTTTAGGTGAACATAGAGTAAGCAGAGGTGATGAAGATTCCTGGCCAACACCAACGGCAACAACACCAAGAACAGACAACAATCAGAACAAATGGGAGGAACCTGAAGGAGGCAACCTTCTTCATCTACCTACCTACCTGGGAAGCATCGTTTCAACTACAGGCGGACAAACCTGGTGAGAATATCAAGAGGAGGATCGGGAAAGCAAGGCAGGCTTTCATTATTCTCAAGTCTGTGTGGAGGTCAACAGCACTCAGCATGAAAATGAAAATAAGATCCGGATTTTCAACTCCAGTGTGAAGTAAGTGCTACTATGTTGATCAGACACTTAGCGCGTCATAGAAAGCACCTCAAACAAACTACAGACCTTCATAAACAGCTGTCTTCGCTCAACACTACTCAAGATCAGATGGCCGGCCAGAAAAGATTAGCAACAGGGAGGGATCTCTGGCAATGAAAGAACCAACCAGGAACCGACTGTGCAACAAATCTGCAGGAAGAAATGGAGGTGGAATGGCCATACTCTGAGAAAACAAGCCATCAAGTGAAATCGCTAGACAAGCCTTTGCTACAGTGGAACCTGAAAGGGAAGCGGCGAGTTGATCGTCAGTGAGAGGGTGACTTAGATTAGGTCATATGAAGAGGAGATGAAAGCATGTGGGCAGACTTGGAGCCAGGTGAAAACTTTGGCAGAGAATCGAACGCAATGGAGGCGTGGTTGGCTGAAATCCTATGTTCCTCTAGAAATTAAAGGAAACAATATAATATGTTAATAGAAAGAATGACTAATAAGGATTAAGTTGGTAAGTTTTATGCAAATGTCAGAACAATGATTTTCAGCCTAGGAGATAAGAGCGAATTAGCCCTATGAAGCTTGTAGAACCCCCCCCCCAAATAAATATAAATACCGTAATTAGATCGCTAGAGAGGGATTTTCCAAACAAAGTTCCCACTATACAGGTTACCGAACCTTTTAATGCACTCTATCGTGCCGCTCTCTCTTACTTCTGGGGTCCAGGACTTGCAACAGTACGCCCGCATAACCCCTCTGTAACTTGGCTTATTTGACTGTAACACAATAGTATTATGTTAAAAATTGGTAAGTTTAACTTGTTGAATGTTTTGACAAATGAACAATGGCGTTTAGTTTACTAGTTTATAGCATTAAAATATAGTGTGACTAGTTGTTTATATTCACTTTTAACTGATTAAATGACCTAAATGATATTGCACTTCGATTCAATGACTCATAGAATCGATTGGTTAATATATAAACAATGTCAATGTGGCCTATACCAGTGGCATTACGAATTTAAACAAATATAAAACTGTTATTCTACGAGGAAAGTTAACTAATTTTTACAGATAAGCATCATGCAATCATCTGTAAGTCATTCGATTTTCTTAATTAAATGTGTACTTAAGTATTCTAAATTCCTCCAAATAAGAGTAGACAGTTTTATCCTTCATTATTCGGTTTTCAGTGGATGGTGGCACAGCGGTAGAATACTTGCCGAACACTCATGCACGTGGTCCGGGGTTCGATCCCCGGCCGACGCACTCCTTTACCTCCCTAAGCCAGTAATGAGACTGGTAAAGAGGGAAGGTTAGGCGTAAGGTTAGCAACCTCATCCCGTAAAAGTGAATAACAGTGCTACAGAAACTTCAAGCATCTAGCTTGAAGCCCCCCTATGTTCCTTGTGGGAGTGTGAAGGAAGAAACAAAATTTGATTTTTAATTAAATTTCAACTGCATCAAAATTTTAGGCCTCTGTTGACAAATCAGCTGCTAATGAGAACGTTTTGACGCTGCGTGTGAATATTAACTTGAAGTAGTTTGGTGGATAGTGACTGGCAGTAGAATCCAGGATGAGCATTCCGTCGTATTTTGTGACTTGTCAGCTAGGTGTACCTGTAACCCGAGTGATTGATGGGTATTGAGTTTGAGTCTCAGTGGGAACACCACAACTTTCCAGGAATGCAAGTATATCTGGCTGACAAATCCCGAGTGGGACGAAGTGAGTATCTTGGTTTCCAGTGCTAGTCACCATCCACTAAAGTGCTTCAAGTCACTGGGATGCGATCCAGTGGCCAGGCCATGAATTCCAACTTCTGTCACTTTATGATATGATGCGACCACTAGTCAATGTCATTTGTGGCGAGTATCTGTCCTCGCACACTACCTGTTGTACCTTATTGGCCACAACTTCCCACTAGAACCCAGGTAACTTAGATACTTAAAAATGTCGATAGAAAACCACTAGTCTGAACGTTTGATAATAATAGTGTTGATTTTAAGTGCCTAGCCATTAAGTTAACACAGAGTCCATTTGCTTAAAAAAATTTACGCATACTTCCTCATGCGTTTGTAAGCTAACCTACAATTGCTAGTGACTATATCAGCTAGACAGTCATCGGAAAACCAGGAAGCAATGTATAGCTATTTCATCCCATCCTAGGATTCTTCAATGGTACGCATCTACCAGGTTTTGAACCCATGACTTCCAGGTTACAATTCGAGCTCTTGGGTCGTGGAACCACCGGAACTCGAACCAATGGTTCATGAATTCCAACTTCTGACAATTCTTGATGTATGCAGCACAACCTCCAGCTAGCACCATCGGTGAGTGACTGTTCTCATACCTGACTTGACGGATCCAGCTGGTTACGGCATATCATTAGGGCTTCAGTCAGCAGTGAGCATCAGACTAACTTTCTGGAGTTAGCTGTTGTCTGTTGCAGTTTAATTCACCTATTCCAATCTTGAATTCTTCCTTTATCACTCAAATAGGGGATTGTTTCATCTATATACAAACAGTAGTTATTCTTCTCAGTATTCAAGTAATTTCTGAGGCTAAGCCTACGAATACAAAATTTTTTCTGTGCTATCTTTGATTGACAAGAGATTTTTATGAAAAGACAATAAACAGATAGATATTTCCCAGCTAAAATAAGCCCATCCTCGCCTTTGAAACCACTTTTTTAAACAAAGTTTAAAACCGTCTTCTGTGTTTTGTAATCAACTAAAAATTTATGAAACTTAAGACGTTTTACTTCATGAACATACTTGGTTTATCCCCGCCTTGATTTCATCAGACTCGAAGATATTGCAAGTGAAAATTGGTTACAGGATTTCATCGTGAGCTGACATTGGTTAGAGAACCAATGGAAAGCCACCTGAGAGTACTGGATGGCTGTTTCGTCCTAGTTTTGGACTCTTCATCAGTACGCACCCACTGCCAAACTTGAACCCAGGCCCTTCTGGGTACAAGACGAGCTCGTAGACCATTAACCTACTGGGACCCGATCCAATGGCCAGTCCATGAATTCTAACTTCTGTCGATTCACGACATAGCGCAACCGCTAGTAGACAAGACATGTCTACCATGCATTGAAATCACAGTTTGTACATATCTTCGGTATTGTGCTAATGTTGTCTTTTTTCATGTGTTCTGGGTTCATTTCTTTTCTTCGCTATTGCATGCATCTCTACTGTTTAATATTCGCGAAGATGATATAGAAATTTATATTTGCGTTTGTATACTGCTTAGAAATCCTTTCAGCAACACGCGACCCACTATTATAGTTTGTTGTGTGGCTTAATACACATTTTATTACTTAAACTAATCAGCTAGTATATGTGCACCTTTAAGGCCTTTATACTGCCTATCAAGGAGACTGACGAATGTCTTCACTACACCCTTCCACATCATAAGACATACGTCAATTATAATTGTTCACATAAATGGCTACTAATACTTTACATGCATATTTTTGTTTCTAAAAAATTTAGAGTAATGCTCAGAATACAGAGTTTTCATCCGAACCAATTATCACGTCATGCAAAACAGGCGAAGATGATCCATCTTACAAAATCCTGGATGATAAAGCAACGGGCAGTTTATTACCTGTATGGTGCGCATTCTTACCTGGTTCTGGACACTGTTCTTCTTCTTCTTCAGTAAACACTGAGAATGTTCTAACTTCAAATTGTCAAATGACTGTACACATCCTTCGTTTAGGACCAGGTCAAGATTTGAAGGAATGCTTAATTCATCATGTTTTGAAGTATTATCTATCTGGAGCTTTCATTATCACATGTTGTGGAAGTGTTAAAACTGCTCACTTACGCTTAGCCAATCTTCAAGTAAACAAAAGTTTTATAAATTTGAATTATATTACTAATCGTTAAAAAGTAGTTGAAATGTTTGCTTTTGAAATTATTAATCCTGTGCAGCATATATTTATTCCCTAATTACTGAGTTAATGTCTCATTTTCTTCTTTATTCTAAAATAAGAGATCTCCTTACACATCAACGAGGACTGAATATGTAAATTACATTGTAATAATTTGTGTGATTTGTAATTTAGTCGCTAGCTTGCATTTTACCCAGTTTGAGTTTCCTTTGGAAACCGAAATTACTCGGATCGCAGTATGTGTTGCCACCAATTTCAATCAAGAAAGCAAACATATTTGTATCAAACTCATATATATACTACTGAATAAATTGAGATTAGTAGTTGTTCATCACACATATCAACCAGTAGTGTTTGTCGGCCAGATAGGGTTGATAAAAGCACTGGACGACCATTTCACTAGTTTAAGATAGAGTTCCAACCAGCTCTGTCTGAACCAATTTGGCTCTCTGAGCTGTTTCATCGGAAATTTTTCTAGGGGACTAGAAATATGCTACTTCTCGGTTTGGAATTCTGTAGAAGTATGCAGCGATCCCCAGCTGATGCACACCTGAACCTTGCTAAGCCGTTAATAAGACTGGTAAAGAGAGGGGAGGTTGGAGATGAGGCTAGCAATCCCATCCCTTAGAAATAAATACCACTGTTACCGAAGCTTCAAGCCTCTAGCTTGAAGCCCTATGTTCCACACTGGGAACGTAAAGGAATAAAATAATAAAAAAATAACCGATGAACACACCAAAAATCTAACGAAGAACCTACAAGCTGCTGGTGGGAATTCAGTAACATTAAGACATTTTCATTAATACAGTCTTTACTACGACAATCCCCTTTTCTTCATTGCAAATATTTATCAAAACTGACATGTTCAGTCCTAAATATCACTGTTATATCACACTTATATGAAAACAGTCCTTTTGTTTTATGCAAAGACAAATAATATGTTCGTAGTGGTAGTGTGAGTAATCCTATATAATACCAAATGTTTAAGATGGTGATAATGGCCTTCAGAACCAAGATTATCAGCTAATATTGCCCAAAAAATACGGTCACAAACTAATAATACATGATGGTTAATGACAGGACAATTTTGTAATACTCATAGGGATAATATAATCGGAACCAGCAGAAACACAAAAGAAGGAGTAGAATAAAGTACAAAAAGTAAGCCAACGTTATTAATTTAGGTAGCTAAGTATGTTTAAGAAGGTGTTCACTATAGAATACAAATAAGAGAGAAATAAAAGAGCGAAAATTGTGTTATAAACAACAAAACAAGTCATAAGTTTCGCGCTTAACATTGTCTCTGTCACTTAGAACACGGGTGGCCAAATATGGTATCGTTGAGTTCGTATACTTGGTTGTACGAGCATATATTATTTTGTACTGATTTCTGGTTCTACCTGATGAGATAAAAGGACAGAGTTGGGAATAGAGGGGATGTTGGGGATCGGAGAGTATGGTTTTAGACCATTTTTCGCATGTATTCAGATGCTTTTCTACTAATGTAGTGACGAGCTGACTGAGTTTTACACCACTAGTCCTACTAACTACCTTCAACATCCTTCTCAGGATGGTATAGTCCTTTTTCAGTAACCCAGGAAAGACTAACGGGGAGCAGTAAGTAGAATAGGTAAGATACTAGAGTTGACAAATTGTGAAAGTAGGGGTTGGGTGATTCCAGATAGTCTAAGTCTCTTAATGTAGTAAGTTAGACGGAACACTTTCTTAGAAATGGTTAGGATATGAAATGATCAAGTAAGGTCGGAAGATACAACTAGGCCAAGCTTTTTTGCATTAGGCTTAGTTTCAGTTTTAGTCCTCTCAATGCTACAGGTCTCATGAGTACTTACTAGTGTTTGTAGATTTCGTTTATGCCTAAAGGCGAAGTCATTAGTCTGGCATTTTGAGGGATTCAACATGAGGCCATTTAGTTTAGACCACTGACTGATGTCCGACAGGAAGCTATTTAATTTGAAACAGTCCGACTGAGACTTAACGGGAAGCGAAACAGTCAGGTCATTTGCATATTTAACGAAGTTGATTTTGTCTGAAAGAGGTAAGTCATGTAAGAAGAAGGAAAAGAGAAACGGAGAGAGAACAGCAGCCTGAGGAACACCAGCTTCAGTAAGCAAAGGAGAGGAAGCTACACCATTATATACCGTGTACTGCATCCTATTGGAGAAGTAAGAGTGCAGCCAGTTGATAGCCCAGGACTCAGTTTGTGTAAGGCTAAGCTTGTTTAACAAAAGGCCCCTAGGTACAGAGCCGAAAGTAGATGTATAATCAAGGAACGTACAACGGACATACTTGGCCCCTTTATCTAAGGAGGGTACAAACTATCTGAAGATGGGTGTAAATGTAGACTGAGATTCAAAAACGTAGGTGGATGGTTAAAACAAAAAAATATGGAGTACCTTTGAAACTTTTTATGACTGGAAAATTAATTGACCCAGTGATTTAAGTAGGCTTCCGAAAACAACTCTCATACATGAATTAAAAGGAAAGAACTAAGTGATTTACAAAATTTATCTTTTCTATGGTTGGTTTGTAAGGATCAATTTTGTTTTTACGAGTTGAACACGGGTCGATATCAGTTAGAGAACCATCGAAAATCAACCACAGGGAGTACTGAACAGCTGTTTCATCGTAGTTTGGGAATCAACGCAAGCTCGTTCACCATTAAGCCACTGGGACTCGATTCATTTGCCCATGAATTCTAACTTCTACCGAATCGTCATATAGCTCGACTACCAACCAATGTCACCTGACTGGATGAACCTCACTGGTCATGACTTCTCACTAGAACTCCAGGAAACTCCATCCTGTAGCAAGTCACTGGATTCGAACCCTGGTGGTGTGTGCGTACTACCAATGGTTCCCAAACCAGGCTGAAATAGCTGTCCACTACTCCCGTCTGGCTGATTTTCAATGGTTCTCTAAATGATATCAATTTTATTTTTACTTAAACTTCTTACTTCTATTGTATTTTTCTAATAGGACAAATTTTTTAATGGTCCTTTTGAAATTACTTCACTTGTGGGTACATTAACTCATGATGGATATCCACATCTTCATGTTTCACTGGCAGACTCTCATGGAAATGTATTTGGCGGACATTTACTTGGAAGTATAAAAGTTCATACAACAGTAGAACTTGTACTTGGAGTAACTGGTATTGAAAAAAACTCCTTATTATCATCATCGTCATCACATACTGAAGAGCAAACTAATTCCTCTTCTTCTACAAAAGTAAGTAATGATCATGAGTCTTCAGGAATTAGACTGATAAGAAAGTACAGTGAGGAAACTGGCTTTAAGGAATTAGCTGCTGAAGAAACTCAACAATGATATGTTATATTTTGAATTATGTTTCCATTTTCACTTCAAATACTACTCATATCATTATCAGTAGTAGAATTAGTTCTTATAAAAGTAACTGAAATAAATGAATGCTGTGAATGTGTACCGATGCCAAGGCTAGGCTTCCGTTAATCACTGTGTGTTTTACTTTCACTGGGGAAAAATCTATTCCATCTTCTAGTCCCAAGTTTATCAATGTTTATTCACTTAAATGGGATAATTTATATTGAAGTGATAACTAAAAATGCACCTGTTCAAATCAAATATAATTCGCTTGAACATTTTTCGCTTTTCACTTAACAAAATAATTTTTCATGTGCTTTTTATTGGTTTGCCTATCGTATGTGTTAATGATTGTGTTACCGGTGAATCTGTTTTATGCCACTTGTTCAAACATTCAATTCAGTCTTTTTAATCCCCTGTGCAAAGATGTGTAACTTGAGTATGGAACAGGCGGATTTATAATGAAATGAAAAACAAGTGATTCACTGAAGAGACTCATTTTAACGAATTCGCTATGAAGCAGTATGATAATATATATCTATCTATCTGAGAAGACAAGTAATGATTTAGTTTAAGTCAATATGATCTGCCTAGTCCATTGTTTGGTGCAAAATGAATTCGCTATACACACCGAGTTATGTTCATTGGATGGCTGGAGGCAGTCGTCACAGGAAGCCTTGTCGGCACTCACCGGTCACGTATCATGGTATCTGCAGTCTTGAAGGAACTGACATCCCATCTGCGATTCGAACACGTGTCACCTAGTGGGACAGTCAGAGACGATGCCACTGAGATATTTAGGCCCACGATCGACTTCCAGTAGGAGTGTATTGGATAATTTGACTGAACGCTGGATGGCGAGTATTAGTGTCATGTGTCTACTCCATTGTTTGGTGCAAACTGAATTCTATCCTTTGAGTATGACCTCCGATTCGATCCTGTCATGAATAAAAATCAAAGAAGGCAGCCGCATAATTTAGATCGAGTGAGTATATTCTGCTTCGTTTGAGGCGTGTATCCCAAGTGATATGTGTTTGGAAGCATCTGTGGTATTCTATATCTAACAAAAAAGGGAATTTCTAGTTTGTAAAGGCCAAAGAATAAATTATTGTGTACTCGCATCATTTCGCCACTAACAAACGTTTACTCATCTCTCGTGTTTCCTCTAATTTCAGTGAGATACAGGGTAGACCTTAATTCTGATGGAACAATCATTTTTCTAATGGTGTTTTGAAGTTTATTATTACGTGAATGAAGCTCAAAGAAAATTCTGTGGTGAGTTAGTCTGGATAGCAATTAGCATCACACGTCTCTAGGGTGAAACCAACATTCTCACTTATTATAATAGTGAGTTGAGGAATGCCTAGATCATGTGTAACAAAAAATAATTGTCTTGAGAAATGACACAGTCAAGCTGACAGTTTTGTGAATTTCACTGCTCAAGATAACAATTTGTAATGATGATTCCTGTTAATTTCTATGCAATTTTGTATGATCATTTGAACAATGTTTCTTGTCAACATTTTTGCTTTTTGTCCCATGTGATAATAATCCAGGGATTAGATAGTGTGATATATTCTACTTAATTACAATTCTAGTTGTCAGTATTTGCTCCCTCGAACACAAGTACGGTCCCATTGAAAACACACTGGCGGTTACATTTTACTCCAAAACGACGAAAGGATAATAAATTCAATATGTTTGAAAATGACTTGACAGTAGGAGATTTACGATTATCATTTCTTTGAAGACAATTCAGAAATTCTGCGAAAGAAACTAAAATCATGCATTTGACAAGTATTTTATAAATACATTTTGAAGAAGGCTTTCTGTAACGACCAGAACGGAAGTCTGAAGTCTGGTCCAACCTCAAGTAACCAATCGATGCTCCCCCTTTCCGGAGTGACTAACAGTCCCACTGTGTTTCTTTGGTAGGGAACGAATAGTTTTTAAGATAAGATCGGCGGGAACTGCCAAACAATGACAGCATACCAAAAAACGCCAAATTACCTCAACAGTGCCACTGAGCAACTTTGCAGTTCAAGAATATCGATGAGATGCTCACTAGCGACTTGCTCTATTCACTTGGTAGTAACCTGGGGTTCTAGTGAGAAGTTGTGCCCAGTAAGGTGCAGAAGGTCGGGTGTGAGGACAAATACTCGCCGAAGACAATGGCTAGGGGTCGGGCTATGTCGTGAATTGGCAGAAGTTAGAATTCATGGGATAGCCATTGGATCGAGTGGGCCCAGTCGCTTAATAGTCTACGAGCTCGCCTTGTAACCAGCAGGTCTTGGGTTCGAACCCCGTAGTGTGGTTTCGTACTGCTGAAGAGTCCTAAACTAGAACTAAACAGCTGTCCAGTACTCTCAACTGGCTTTCCAATGGTTTTCTAACCGATGTCAGCTTTATGATGAAATCCTGTAATCAAGAATTTCTCCTGTACAAAACAAGTAGTGTGTAACAAAATTAATAAACCTAAAAGCGACTTGGTTAATACTTGAGAATCAAACAGGATATTCCCATCAAGGTGAGATCAAAACTGTGTTGGCAAGATTCAAAGATACCAAACTCATTTCCCATTCACAATCCAAGGCCAAATAGTCCTCATGGCATAAAAATTTGAGTTCATTTACACACTGTCGCAATGATAAAAAAACAACAACTTGTTTCCATCATTTTTCCATTATCGCCTAATAGTAACGCGAAATATTAAGAATAAGCATCTCAGTCACAAACAAGGACTAATTATATGGATTAAATATGAAAGGAAAATATTTACACGTTGGAACGACTATACACAGGTCAAGGCAAAATAGGTAATAATTACACAATTAGGTGAATTATACAAATAAGCATCGTTATTGTAAATGGATTCTTCAGGAGGAGTATTTTCCGAGCAATTATCACGCTTTCCCTTTAGTAAAATATCCTTTCCTTAATGTTCCCATACTGCCCCTTTTTCGTATTAAAGTAACTGGATAATACTTCATTTTTGGATTTATTCTATCTGATTATTCGTGAACTAGAACGATCACTGTCGTTTACCCACAGTGCTTCAACACACAGTGGTTTATTATTATTATTTCCTTTAATTCCTAGGGGAACATTGGGCTTCGGTCGTGCATCTCCATTGCGTTTGGTTCTCTGCTAAAGTTTTCACCTGCTCCAAGTCTGCACGCACGCTTTCATCTTCTCTTCACATGACCTACTTCACGTCATCCTTGCACCGACGACCCACTCGCCGCTTCCCATTCTGTCGAGTTCCACCCAAGCAATAGCCTGACGCGCGCGATGTCACCCAGCGGCCTCCTCAATCAGCGAGTGTCCAATCCATTTCAATCCACTTTCTCCTGCATATTTGTTGGTTGGCGATTGGTTCTTGTTTCGTTTGTTCTTATAGTTAATTTCTTGTTGGTGATTCTTTCCAGCCCGGCCATCTGATCTTCAGTTTAGAGCCAGGGAAGACAGTTGTTGGTTGATAAGGGTTTGGTCTGCTACAGGCTGTTGGAAATGTTCTTTGTGACCCCCTGCCAAGTTTCTGATCCGTATAGAAGAGCTGACTGACTTGACGTTGTTTGTATTGAAAATCCGACCGAATTTTGTTGTTGATGCTGAGTGGAGTGACGAAGATTTCCAGATTGGTTTCAGGTTGATGAATGTGTTTCTCGCCTTCCTGATTCTCGCTCGATTTGAAATCCTCGTCCGTTCCGACTTCCTGTAGTTGAGACAATGCTCAATGCTAGATAAGTGAATGAAGTAACCTCTTTCAAATCCCTCTCGTTGATGATGATTCGTGCTGGATGTTGCTGCTGTTGTTATTGTTGTTGGTTGGTTATTTACATAACCTCCGTCTTGTCCACGTTCACCTGGAGTCCTCTCTTCGCTGCCTCTTTCGACCAGTTTGTCGGTTTCCGCTTGTAAGTCTTCGATTTTATGTGACATCAAACATAAATCATCCACGCGCAAAATCCAGGTCTTCTGGGTTCTTCACGTCGATCCAGTATATCCTGTCTGTTCGTTTTCCACTGTCTGACGGGCTGACGGGGGGGGGAATTGTCGTATATAGTTAAATGTTCAAGTCATATCTTTAAAATGTTTCATTGAAACGTCTTTCACAATACCGCTGATGACTTTTTCGATACCGTTTTCTTCTCTGTCATCCATCCATGAGTATCAGTGTTGGTAGTACTACTACTAACAAGTATCAAAAGTAACAATAATAGAATTACAAGTGGACTGCAACTGAGAACAAAGAAAAGAAAACAACAAACTCATTCCACCATGAATGACTAGTGAATATGCTAATATCTGGTCAACTGTCATTTCAATACACAAATGATCTGTTCTCATTTTGTCCCTTTAAATAGTCGAGTGTGTACGCGCACACAGACACACAGACACACACATATATGACGCAGTTAATACGCATAAACAAAAGAGGAAAAGAGCAGGAAGTAGAGGAAACTAAAGAGAAAAAAGCAATGAGAAACACAAACAACAACAACAAGAGCAAGAACAAAAGTTGGATTATTGTTTGGTTCCCCCTCCCGCCCTCTATAAATAAATGATGTCCGTTTCGCTTCTATGATTCTAAGGTTTATTTCGGTCTACGTTTCTGCTATTTACATATCTTAGATCGATAAGCAGAAAATAATCTCGGATCATTGATTATTCCATTTCAGTGACACACATGAGTATTGATCATTTGCATTTTGTTATGCTATATTGGAAGAATGACTTTCTTTTAAGCTTGAGAGTTATAGACGATAATGTCAGTGAAATGTTTGTGCATTGTGGAATGAATCAATTTGTCATAATTATACTTCAGTGTTAGATCGTTTGGATTGAAAAAAAAACAACAAATTGTCATTGAATGTAAATAACCATTTAAATTTAATTATGATAAATAGGTCATAGACGATGCCGTGATGTGCTGGGTAAAAAATCAAATATATATATCAAGTGTTGGTTTGTAAATTTGATTGGTTTCACGATTTCACCATGAGCTGACATTAGTTAGAGAACCATTGGAAAACCTGAAGAGTCCCAAACTGGGACGAAACAGCTGTTCAGTACTCCCAGGTTTTCCAATGGTTTCTAACTAATGTCAGCTCATGGTGAAATATATAGTATATCTCCACTTTTCTCTATTTTCTACTTTCCTCTTCAACTGGCTGCAGCCTGCCTAGATTGGGCACAATCTGTCATCTCTGACATGACTTGTCTCACTCTGATGAAATTAACTTTGTGAAGTACGCTGATAATCTAGCTGGGAGTTAACAGCTTTCAATGGCTGTTAACTCCCAGCTAGATTGTACCAAAATAAATAGCTTTCTGTAGGGAGTCAGTAAATCGTCTGAGTCTA